TATGATTGTGGGTTCGAATCCCGGTTCGCCCCTATTATGTTTCTTGGTTTGTCAGCACCATACCCGTGCTCGTGGGTTTCACCGAAGTGGTAAACGTCTGAGACCTGCATCACTTCGGGCTTGCCTTCCACATTAAGCTTACACGCCGTGATATAACTGGAATAATGTTAAAAGCGGCGTAAAACCCAACTCACTCACTCAGTCAGTCATCAATACATTTTATTATCCACAGTATCCTGCTGAAGACACTATATTCTCTCCTCGCACCTGATTACTGTCCAGCAGAACGTATACGGAATAGGGGATATCATGACTGCTATATATTATAGTGCATACTGACCTGATGATGCTACTGTAGTTGAGTTCTACTACGACTATTATTACCTACTTTCTACAAGCAGGTTTCAACCTGTATATATTATTGAAGTTCACATCATAATGGGTCAATAGCTGGTAATGATTATGATAAATTAATAGGGCTGTTACAATTCACTCACGTATTCGGTGAATCGAACCGTATCCATTCATGAATTGAATTCGTTATTCGTGGCCACTAGAATCGAATATTTATGAATATGCAATCATGTGCATTTACGTACCCTGTACCTAAAAATATCCACAAGTACATATTATATGCATAGATGTCTTCAAAAGACAACACTCTCATACTATTTAATTTGACAGTATTGTTGTCACTGATCATTGTCGCATTTGTGCAGGTACTAGTACCTGGATAAGTGCAGTATATAAATGTATAATATATTAATAACTAACAAATCATGTCAAATAATTTATGTTATTATTTCACTGAATATAACAAATGATACATCAACTGCTGACTTGTTATTGTATTCGTGAATCGCTATTCATATTCGTTACCCTATATTCGTGATACGAATCGTATTCGTCTCATAGTGTATTCGTTGCAGCCCTATAAATCAAAACCAGTAAATTGAAAATATAAACAGACACGACATATTTTATCATAAGTGACTTTTGTCATTACCACAAGGCCATGTGACCATGTGACTAGTGTCCTGGTCTAATGCCGGCTGCAATGTTCAGGCAGAGACCATATATAGTCACTGTAATGGCCAGTCTTTGTGGTTCAACTTTCACGTAATCATTATATAAAGGGACCCACAGTAAATTCCTTATTATAATGAGGAAGCAGTGAAACAAACCTGGGTACGCGTATTGCACTTTTTAAAGAAGTTAAAGAAATCCTGATTTTTTTCATATGGTTATAGTTACCCTCCATAGCCAGTTCTTTTTAGTAGCATATATTACAACCACATAAATCATAGTAAATCAGATCTTAACGTCCCACGTCCACAGCTGAAGTGCCGTCTTTGTGAGGTCCTAATAGAATTGTGCCAAACAATATTGTTTTGTAACTTGAGACATGCGGATAAGAAGCCTTATAAAACACGACACCTGCCATACACTGAACACATAGGTGCCAGACATGGATGGTGAGATTACTAGAACGCCTTGTTTATATGTAATTGTGAGTGAGTGAGTGAGTGAGTTTGGTTTTACGCCGCTTTTAGCAATATTCCAGCAATATCACGGCGGGGGACACCAGAAATGGGCTTCACACATTGTACCCATGTCGGGATTCGAACCCGGGTCTTCGGCGTGACGAGCGAACGCTTTAACCACTAGGCTACCCGACCGCCCCAATTGTGAATCTAAAGCCGACTAGAGTTAATGCAGCACATATTGCATAATTGTGTAAATGGTTGTTGGGCGGATATGGTATGCTGAGTAATATTTGTTATTTTAAAGTATTTTATTATTTGATGATTGATCACATATATATCATAGACACATTACAATACAAGGATACAGCGTAAAATACGTTATTTTATCATATTTGTTAGTTGTTTAACGCCGCACTCAGCAATATTCCAGCTATATGACGGCGGTCTGCAAAACAATGAGTCTGAAACAGACAATGCAGTGATTGATAGCATGAGCATCGATCCACTTAATTGGGATACGATGACATGCATCAAGCAAGTCAGCGAGCCGATTACGTTAGTCGCCCCTTACGTCCCTTAAAGACCTATTCTGGCCCGGATCTTATCGGGTCGTTATATCATTGACATGTTTCTAGTTTATAATTAATAAAATCGTCTAAACCCTTTTCATATTCATAAGAAATCCTCGTCAAAAGCAGAGTCGATTGTACGATTCCGACTATATGTGAGATGTCAAAAAAGGCAAAGACCAAGTGATTCACCTTGCAGTAGTCACGTCACGCTTTTTCTACATTTTGACCTCCACGCCCCCGCAGGTGCTTTCTGTATTTGCTTGAAGTCTTTTTGAGACTTTGCACCTATTCAAAAGTACTTATCCCGATTATCCCGTACAGGAGTAAAGCACAGTACCCTCGCTTCTCACTCGAGCTGTTCAAGCTTTCACAGCGAAGATACAGTATCGGCCAACAGGTGGAATGTCAATTTCTGTTTACACACTATGGGGATCGGATTGGTGGAGGCCACAACAGCTTTGTTTTTACGTCTCCGCCTTGAATATACTATCCCAGGAGTGCACGAGAATTCCCGCTAATCCAGTATTTTTTGTCGTGTGTAAAATGTGCAAGCACGCATTCTGAAGAGCTTAAGAATTACAAGGGTGTGAAGGAATGAAATACCATACGTAGCAGGTACACGGTAGAATATGTGCAACGTGGCTCAGAATGCATGATATGTGGTTATCATATACCTGGCATTAAAAAGGCATCGCTACAGTGCATGTTATACAAGTAGGTGCTTGTTGCAATGTCAGTGGTGCAATAGGTGTAGGGTAAGTTCTTTACTATAGGAAAGGTTGTATAATATACGGTAGCGTTTCAGTATCTAAATACCTGCTGTTTTGAGGTCGTGTTTTGCCATATTTATTACAGAGTTTATAGATTTCAGTTTAACAAAGACTTTAAGTGGTACAGTGTTTGTATCCAGACTACTTTTTACAGAATTGTTATATCTTACAGTATACATTTACGTATTGGTCATGTATAGTATAGCCAAAGGGAACGAATTATAGTGTTTAAAGTGCAGGTAGTTCTGTAGATACAAGCAACCTAACCCGTTCCATAACCACTGTACAATTCCGACTATATCGTGGGCCTGTGGGTAATTACTATGACATACTAATGATGCCTGGTGTTCGATAAAAGGTGAACTAAGTATTCTGGCACATGTCACAAACACATACAAAGGCAAGTCAATCGTTCTTCTAAAACACACGGGAATTTAACATATGGTACGAAGTCGTCGTATGACTCTCTTTGAAGTTTTCGTAGAAAGAAATTGTACCTCATATATTAGATATAAACACCAAAAGCACGGGATGTGCAGGAATATTGCTGGACATCAAGGGAAAGTGGACTATTGGAAAGTTGAAGTCATCCCTCTTGTCATACAGCCTTGTGGAGAGTTTTTCGTCGCTCTGAATCTTTATGCATAGATCTCATAAGGCTGAACATGTCGCAATGTTATATTAAATGAGGTCAACAATTTGGATATTCGTTCATTCGCTGCTTGAGTTCCGTTTGAGAACTGTCAATGCTAGCCAGTCATTGTCTGTGGCGTAGACAGATGTAGCCTATATTGGTCCAGTCAGGCAAGCATGCAATACTTATGCGGTACACTATCAGTTTTATGGCAAGCTTACTTTAAGTGGTTGTTAAATTACACACATCTTGCGCATCTGGATTCAAATAGCTCACAAACCACTCCAATATATATTCACCGAGTTCAAGAAAAGTTCACACACCTTTCCTACTCGACATGAAACTAATCCCTTCTGCCTTTATTGCACATTAGGCTTTTCTGAAATAGAAATTACATGGTCGCCTTGTGAGAATCCAATAGCTCCCGAAGGTCCTCGGGGCGTACTCTGCTTCTCTGATGTAGAGATTATATTATGCAACGTCATGGAGAAATATTTGCTATGGTCAGGATAAGGTTTAACAATGTAACTAAATGCTATACATCTTACATGTGGGATGAGTCATACTTTATGAGAAATCTTGGCGTAATGTCCGTCTGTCCATCCGTCCGTCTACTCGTCCGTATGCAGTCCGTGTCCACTATCATGGATGCTACACCATGCCGGCTAGACTAACATCTTGTCTCTGAAATGAACATAGTTTACAGAAAAAACAGTTGTTAAATTATAGTTAAAAAATAATAAAAAGGAGCTCAGAGATTTTCTTCATTTTCAGACTGCAGTAATCTAGACTTGCCAAACATTATAGACTTGCATGGGCTGTATTGGATATATTTGTTTCAGGATCTGTATGACAGACAACATGCCCCCATGTTGCCCTTGTATCTGTACCCACTGGCTGATGAAGCTGAGACATGATTTGTGTCGTCCAGCAAGAACATCCTTAATTCTCTCATAGAATTCCGAACCAATTTTAACCATGCAGCTTAGTGTATCGATGCGTGAAGCAATTGCAACGGTGTGTGTCACTGCATAATTTTATTATATCGTATACATACACAACCACGAACACGTATGTCAAAGTTCTGGCATCTGTCAGCACTGAGTGCGCCGTTAGGCAACACAGATTTACATTTAATGAGTGAGTGAGTATGGTTTTACACCGCTTTTAGCAATGTTCCAGCAATATCACGGCGGGGGACACCAAAAATGGGCTTCACACATTGTACCCATGTCGGGAATCGAACCCGGGTCTTCGGCGTGACGAGCGAACGCTTTAACCACTAGGCTACCCGACCGCCCCTCATTTTATGCTACTTGTGCAAGTGGCGGTTGTTACCGCTGGAGCAGGACCCTTTTAGCGGACACCTGGTGACATCACTGATTTTCCCTGATCATTTGTTATTATACTTTCCATCACTATTTTGCCCCTTACGCCCGATGGAACCTGTTTTGGCAGATAACCGAGACTGGTTATTCTCTGGCCTTGACGTGTTGTATTTACTACCTTCTTTATCAATTGCTTTGTTTGTTTCCAGGATAATCAGCTATTATTTGCTGTTGACACTACTCATTGTCCTGCTGCATGAGACAAGTCAACAACAGGTAGGTCACATTTCATGTCTTACTTTTGACGAAAGTCAGTGTTTCTACATATGACTTGGCTCACATACATCCGTTATTTTCGCACGCAGTGGAAAACATGCGGTTAAAGAAGAGACAACAACTGTTTACAGCACAGCTGGAGGTTCTTGCCCAATGAGTTATCGTCATGTTATCACTTGGCGAAACATGTACTGCAGACACCACACTACATGCACACCCGTCTTCAGCAACCCATGCTTGCTGTAAGAGGCGACTATGCTTATCGTGAGAGGCGATTAAAGTGATCGGGTGGTCAGACTCACTGACTTGGTTGATGCATGTCATCGTATCCCAATTGCGTGGATCGATGCTCATGATGTCAATCACTGGATTGTCTTGTCCAGACTCGATTATTTACAGGCCGCCGTGATATAGCTGGAATATTGCTGAGTGTCGCGTTAAACAACAAACAAACAAACAAACAAGCTGCACGCATATCGACGATATTGAATGTAAAATTTCTCGAACAAAACATTAAATACTACTAATTACCACATTGTTCTGCCATATGTAATTGAATTAACAACAGTCAATGGAAATATGTCCATGGAACACTCTTGCAGTGTTATTGACATAGACAATTGCACATGTTTACTATTTGTTGGATTGTGTTGAAAGTAATGTTCTAAGCACTGCGATCCTTCTGCACTGAACTCCGTTCACCCCCATCGCAGCTCCTGTCGTAACAACAAGCAGACAACCCCTCGACGCTCTCAAAGCCTACCACAAGTCACAGTAACATTTGTGTGGTACGCCCGTGGCGTAATCTTTCCACGAACAAACAAGCACTAAAGTAAATGAAAGTGTCACACTTACACCAAACACTGGCATTCCTAACGGGGCAGACAATGAAGTACAGCAGTTCACGGTAGTTTCCTCATCTGTGCACACAAACACCGCCACAGGTGCCCCGACCAACAAGCTGGCTGAGATCTCCGGGGGAACCATCTGTAGGTATAACCCGTGAGGCCACGATGTGAAGCATGTGCCCTTCTCGGTGTGGGAGCTGGTCTGGGCCTTGTGCCGGGTGCTGACTAGGGTCTGCCTCAGGGTGCGTTACCTCTTGCGTCTAGTGTAGACAGATCTGAACCAGTGTAAACAGATGGTTAGTGAGTGGGTTTCGTTTAATGCTGCTTTGCACAGTATTCCAGTTATATCGCGGCGTGCCAACTTAATGTTAGAGGAAAGACCGAAGTATTGCAGGTCTCAGACGTTTACCACTATGGTGAAACCCGAACATAATCGGGGCGAACTGGGATTCAAACCTACGATTATTGATTTCTGGCGTTTCCAAGGGACCAATATCTACACAGCGAATTGCGGCGCCTAAAACGCCTTTGCGACCCCTGACCCAGGGACAGAAGCGAACCATTCCGGGGATATCGTTTTTTCTCATGCATACCGTTATATGAACAACGTCATGTATTTGTCTAACCTACAGGGACATCAGTGCTTGTCTTATAAAGGATTTAAATTCCAATTCACTCAATTGCCCTTCCTTACATGTTTAATTAAGATTGTTTATTTGTTGTTTAAAAACGTCTTGCACTTGACATGGACTTTATCAAAGGAAACGTTTCATATATGTTGTTTTCTGTATTCTTAAAGTGAAAAGTTCGAATAATGTAAATACCGATTGGCCATTTCACGACTGATCAAACAGTGCACTTGGTAGTTCAATATCTGATACAAAATACCGTTAACTCTGAAGCAGTCGGTGGTGCAACTTTAAAACGTAAAGGACATTCTTTCGTCCTCTTTCTGTTGTTAATGGTCAATCTGACCTCAATTGCCGATCGACATGCGTGTCAACGTGACCGACCATACTTATCGAGAGTAAACAAACACGTTACAAATGAAGACTAGGTCAAATAGCAGCCCCTTTGTGTTGACATAACAAGGAGATATCTGAACCTGAGGATAACATCTGTTTGGAAACCTAGGGTGCATTGTATTCAGTAGGCAAGTAAAACACATTGGTGTTGACTTAATGCGGATACACCTCCACAGTTGGTGCACAGCCCGCCAGTGAGCTGACTCTCTTCTATCGCCGATACATTCTAGACATACCTACATTAATATATATATTTATATATTGGTACACAACGTGGGGCTGATCCTTTTAATATCAAAATTGAACAAAAATAGCCCGACTATGGTCCCAGGGCGTGACGTCTAATGATGGTTTAGCTTCACTTTGGGCGCTAGTGTATCGGCCATGGTATTTCCCAGTTCCGTGTTGGGATTCGAACCCCGGCCATTTGATGCTAGGTTCGTGGTTCGAATCCGATCAAGGGACTAGATATAATACACGAAACCCATCACGGGACTCGGATGTATTGTATTATATGACAACTACATAACCACCCGATCCACGTGTCGCCTTTATGATAGCGTTACGAAAACCTGGGTACGGGGGACAATATTACTTCCCGGAATGTCCATAGGACGGACATGATAACGTCATTCAAATATCAGGGCTGATCATATACACTATAAACTCGTATGTAATAATTTGAAACACAACACATGAGGTCTTACATCATGCTCTTCTTGAAAGCACACCTGAAATCAATGAACAAAAAGTCCTGTTTGTTTCTTATCGCGCGCTGTATGACAGGTGCGGTGAACGTAATCTAGCGTGTGTTCCTCAAGGTTTCTGTCCGTCTTTTCACATACTCAAAACACAATACAACCACTGATACATTTTTTATGCAACACCTGTGTCACAGATCCAACGCTGAAATTTATCAGTTTTACCTTGTCTACCATGCTATTTAACACCAGGTAGTTTATGGGCTACTCGGCACGGCTGTCGTGATTGAAGATCCAAGCATATGTCTTTAATCTGTTAATCTCGCTAATTTGTCACAGGGTACAAAAGCCCGCGCCAGTCTCTGTAATCTGCAGATAGTTGCCGGTCATAGGTGTGACGCAAGGGGGGCCCTTTAATCCCTCATCGTCAAGTCATTATATCAAGATTGTGGCGGACGACGAGCGAAGCCAAACACTTTGTGCGGTTAATCCTGTGAAATAATACAGCATTGTGTGCCCCGGGACGTAGGTCGGTCTGAGACGTATTACTTCCAGATAACCACTTATTGAAGCTTTCAGAAACGCCGCGTTGATATCTACCTCGGGCCCTGGTGTCCAAGGGAACGAAGGTGTGTTTTAAGACCAGACCTAGGACAATCTGACATTATGTCCTTTCAATAACATGATCGTACACCCGCGTATGTTTACGAGCATCGCGTGTCAGTTCCTTGTATTTTTTATTTCTGTATCAGCGCGTTTTCTGTGTTGGTAAAATTCCTCCTGAATACGTGAAACACGTTTGAGTATATGTTTCACTATTTGTGAGCTTTCAAACTAGTGAGTCCTTGTGCGTATGACGAATGTATTACATGTGTAATGCTTAACCTATATCAGTAACTTATAATTAACAAGACTGACGCTTAGTCCAAAAAATAAAGTCACCTTATTTAAAAATATATATCTACAAAATAACAAAATAAAAATGGAGCAAGAACACTGCTTAATTCCTAGAGATAAGACAAGATAGACTTGCCCAATCATTCTAGACTTGAGTTGGACTCCTTATTTAATTTATTCTATAGAGTCACGGAGACAGGCTATAATTTAGCATACGAGTCTGGTTAATCATGTGATATGTAAATGTGCATGACGTCACAGCTATTTGATGTATGTTTTTTACGGGTTGAAATTATACCATTCCTTATGACTCGTTACTATCTTGTCAAACACTTCACCCTCAAGCGTTTAGCGTCGTTTATGACTTGATGGCGACACACTTTCTGAGCGTGGAAACGCGTCTGTTGTGAGGTACAGTCTAATTATACAGGCACGGGGCTTAATGATTGAGAGGCTGACAAGTTCACTTCAGTGATGATGTCCTTACTTGATGCATGACAGGTGTACATTTCATAACCGGGGCAAGATAAAGGGGGCGGGTCAGCGTCTTGTGTCATGGTAATGACTTGCGCCATCCATTCAGCAACTGTTCCGTCCCACTTAATCAAACTGAGTGTCCACCCCTACCCCACCCCTCAACCCCACCCCACCCCCATCACTACACCAAACCTTCCCCCTCACACACACCAAACCTCCCCATCGCACACACCAAACCTCCCCATTACATACACCCGCCATCTGGGAAGGCAAATAACCTTAAACGTGTCTTTTTAGGAACCAATTAACATTGTTTAATTTTTCTTACCTGTAAATATTTACATTGTTGCTGTTATATTTATTGTTTTTTTCGACCACCGACCTCTATGTTTACATAAGCACAAGTCCGTAAATCTAAGAGTGAAAGGGGCGGTCGGGTAGCCTAGTGGTTAAAGCGTTCGCTCGTCACGCCGAAGACCCGGGTTCGATTCCCCGCATGGGTACAATGTGTGCAGCCCATTTCTGGTGCCCCCGTCGTGATATTTCTGGACTATTCCTAAAAGCGGCTTAAAACCATACTCACTCACTCAGTCACTTAATCAATAAGTAATACCGTGCTTGTTTAGCCATGCTGCTCCCCTTCATGGCGACAGAACAGTTTGTCCCCTTGCCATGGGGGAATGCTGTAATAAAGTAATGTTACATGACACAGATGTGTAGGTTCTTAAAGCAGGTTCAGATTGGGAGGGGTAGGGGTAGTCCACTTGTTAAAGCGTTGACTCGTCGCGCCGCCGACTCGGGTTCGATTCCCCAGGTGGCTACAATATGTTCAGCCTATCTTGGTGTAACATTGCCAAAAGCGGCGTAATATCGAACTCATCTCACTCACTCATTGACAGTGTCACTGAGGCCTCCTCTGAAACATTCCTACCGGTAGTCGGAGTGTGATACTACACTGATACAGCCAGGGACGAAGCCATGTTTCCATGGTGTCAATGTTCAGCGACCTCATTCGACCGGCGACACCACACACGTCTACATTTTATAGGCTG